CCGCATTGTTTCAGAAGTTGCTTCATTTTTACTAAAAGCATAGGTGTCTTCTAATAAGAGGCAATTCTATTCGAAATACTATCAAACAATAAATACGGTTGTCTCTCTTAACAGAAATTTAAATCTTAATTCGTCACGTTATAAAAGACTAACTCCTTCCGTTAGACCCAACTCTCTTTGGTAGAAGTTGCTTCATTGATCCGTGTAATAAAGTGGCTACCTTTGTGGTCTCCTTAGCTTTGCGGGATCCATTAAGGTCCCGTTTGGTACGAAGCATTGAAAATGAGGGATTGGAATTGTAATTGCAACTGAAAAAAATCATTAAAATAGTACTTAGTATGAGTATTGTTTGTTATATGGGATTAAGCAACCCTAAAAGGTGGGATTGGGGAATACCACTTCCCCCATGGTATTCCCCAATCCCACATATATGGTTTGATTAATCCCATATATCAAACAATCTCTTATACTAAACACTCTTCTAATAGATTTTTTCAATTGTAATCTCAATCCCAATCCTTCATTTCCAGTACTTCCTACCAAACGCAACCTAAGTGATTGCTTGGGATCAAGATTGACGTCTCTAAAAGCATTTATTTATGCATTGGAAAAAAAAACTTCTCATGTTTATTTTATATTTCGTAAATTATAATTAAAAAATTACTTTTAAAAAACAGCTTTTTGAAGAGTTTTACTACCATTTCAAACAAACCCAATGTAGCTCTAATTTGCGCTTCGAATGCATGCTTAAGAATATAATCCTTTAAAGTTAACAGTTTCAATCTTGTCTTTTTCTCCTCCTCCTCTGATCTTTGCACGGGCTAACTTATCATTGTGCCGAAATCTGTTGGATATATGTTGTGTGAGTGATTATTTTAAAAGAAATTATTTTGGTAACTCACAAATTATTAAGCATTTAATTTGGAATTAATTTCTAATAACCTCCCACTCATTCCTATATGCTAATACTATCATGATCTTCTTGTTGCTATATAATGGTTATCTCTTTCCTCCTAGAGACAACCACCAAGCTGGTCCTCCTTTCTCTTAATTCCCTCCTCTCTCTGGGCTACAATTTCATCCCTCTCACGAGCTTCCCTGGGAAGGATTTGACTTATCCAAGGAAAAAAAATACAAGCAAAATACTTCTGAAGGACAATGCTATCCAAATGCGGCTCATACAAAACATAGAAGACAAACTATCTAGGTCGGGTAAGCTATGAACTACACTAAAGTAAGCGACGTAAGCTCCAATATAAATGAGAACTGAACCTGGCAGTTCGGATTGATTAACAATGCTAGATGCCCAACTGAGAACCAGTCAGCATGTTTATATACACAGGACTTAACCGGTTAATCTAAGCAGCTCCATCAGTGATTTTTTTTTTTTTTGGTTTTTGGGTCACGAAAACTATACACAGGGGTTGGAGATATTGCCTTATTTATGAAGAGAGAGTGAGAGACGAAGTAATCGCCTACCGCCAATCAGATATAATTTTTTACCTCCTCTATGTGATGCTTGCTAGAATGGGTCAAAACTATGACTTTGAAACTGCTGTATGAATGCTGATCAAAAGCAGCCTCAGCCTTAGCTTGTGCTAGAGCTGTTTGCTTTCGGATGTTACCTTACCGCCTTATTTCCTCTGTACAGAAATCCACATCCTTCGGATGACGAATTTAGGTGACGATTAGAATAAAACTCTGACTTAAACAAACAGCATCTCCCCATTTTATCCAGTTTGCAAAACTTTCAGGGTATTCTGCTCCTTCTTTGAGCTCTTCTCCGCTCTGCTTCATCTCCTGAAAAATAATTTATTAATAACAGAATCAGTGTAATTCCTAGTTAAGCATACTTTCCGGAAAAAAGAGCTGCTTTATTTTGAAATATTTATTAACTTCTGGAATAACATTAATCGATTATGAAGCAGATTAGTATATTATATTTCAATAAATATCATTTATTAATTCTATTAGGCAATATAAATGCGATGAATTTGAATGTTAAAGCTTGTCATAGGCTTAAACTATACTATTCTGTTCATGCATCTTACGTTAAGCATTATGGTTTGGAAGTTATTGGGATTCTTATTGTTCTAAATCTTTTCCAAGTAAATCCAAATCATCTGATTCTACATCCTGGCATTAACATAACATAAACTGACCTTCATACTGGATCCTGATTCACTTGCAGATGCGGGTTGTTTCAGTTCTTAGTTCATTCACAATATTCTCTGATGAGATGCTGGTTGACCTGTAGCCATGAGCATCAGTTTCCAGTCATAACAGAACTCGAAAGACAGGATCCAATATTTACTCAAACAAGACAAAATAGAAATTAGCAATAATATATACATTCTTTTAAATAATAACCGATGAAAGTACTTTCGCTCGTCCTGTAGCAAAGTAAAATGCATAGTATTATCACAAGAACTACCTTTCAAGTAATTCCTCTTCACAAGAATTTCCAGAAGAAGAAAGCCCGTCAAGATCAAGGAAATTTGACCAGTCACAAGCGTCTCCATGCTCATCATAACAAATATGACCATTTTCATCACACCATTCCTCAAGAATTCTTTTATATATCTGCCTGTAAGATATTGACAAAGCATCAGTGACAAGGATTTGGATGGTTTACATGATAAGGCATAAAAAATACAGTGCATATATCATTCGTTGTCACCATACTGCTTGGCCATTTCTCATTTTTATTTCGTTCACACAACAAATATTTGATTTGACAGAAAGGAGAGCAAGGAAAACAATCACTCCTTAGATATCAACAAATTGAAGCCGTTATCCAGGAAAGTGCACAAGCAGCCGTTTATTACTTTGTGCGTTCTAAGAGCTTTCCTTACATGTGAAAACGAGAAAAGTCCACATCCATTTATGAGATTATAACATATTACTCCTTAATATCTGTTTCTAAGCAGGGCACTTAAGCATTTACCAAACCAGCTTTCACAGCTTCATTGACCTGACAAATATTACCTCCGATCCTTAATCTACTCAAATTAGTCAACTAGCTCTAATATTAAGAACTGGAGGTAGTATAAAGAAATGCAACCTGTTGAACTGTTGACTCAGGCTAAGTCTGCCCCAGCGTGGCTTCGAGGTGCTCTCGGTATGCATATAATTAGGTTCAAAAAGTGATTCATTAACGTTTCTCATACTCTACCTCTTAACTTATTTTGTGAGACAAACCACTCCTTTTGAAAATTTAGATCATCCTACTTTCCAAGAAGAACTTCGTTTTCAGAATTTAAATAATTGCATTCAACAGATAAGCCATTAGTCAGCCTACCCCCAAATCACCAACAAAGACACAGATACACACACACAAACAGCCGCTAAACCACATAGCATCTAAAATGCAACCTAACCATACCTGCAGTGACAAAGATCACTTCCACAAGTGAAAATATCGGGAGTAGACTCCGAAAGACAATGGCTGACTATTTTTTCAGAGGGGTGATTACGCCTAACATCCATGTTCCTGATTGTTGCATCATTTCCGCGGGGAATATTTCCAGCCGATAGCGATCTTTTAAAAATTGACCTACCAAAGAGAGTTTTTAGAGAATAATAGTTGAAGAGACAAATAAAGGATATACAACTGGCAAGCAATTACTGTCATCCTCACACATGCAAAGTGTATTTGACAAAGAAACTTCTTTCCCTATAGTATCGTCTATATAAATGTCGCAAGTTTAGGCTGACCAGACCGCGTGTCAACTACATGAGAAAGCCATATAATTTTAGAGTAATACATTTCAGGCCTGTCTGACCTAGTAGCAGCAACTTGACAGGAACGAAGGCCATTTTGTTTTTGAGCAGACTGAAGAAACAGAAATGAAATGTCTTGACTCATGCCACCTTTAGGCCTCTAACCTACTTAAATGCTTTGTAATTTCAAATTTTGAAACGCGAAGTAACACAATCACTATATATTCCTTAAATCACAAAATTATCAACTTCCATCATTGTGCTTTACCGCTATTTTCAATTTGAGGATTACTCTGGAGGCAAAATCAGATGTAGCAAAGCACATGAAAGGACTAAATTTAAGAGAACTTACATGCTTAGATATATAGCATATATTGGTAGGTTCCAATTTCTTGTTTTTCTTTTTATAGACTATTTGTTTGATCAGCACAGACCACCACTCAAAAGCCATGTTAATGGAATAGAAGAAAGAAACAGGTATGCATAAAAGTCAAACTCTACCTAAAACTGTCGCCACCAAAAAATGGGCCATGCCTCCCAAACGTGAACATGACGATCTGAATCTAGCTCCCACAATGCTGGCTTTCCTTTTTGTGGCTGAAAATGCCCCAAGAATCTGAGCAAAATAAACAGTAAATTAAGAAGTCAAACGTTCTATTCTAACACAACTAGGATAAATTCACAGCTTGTGTGATCCTGTGATCCTTGCTATCATGTAAGTACTGCAAAACACTTACATGTTGATTGCTTTCTGTTTGTCACCATCCAAGTAGGTGTTATTATAATAACGCTGTAGGGTTCTGATAAATTCCTGAGATTGTGTTGCTGCCTTCCATTGACCTCTTTTCTCTGAAAATATCTGTCCAGAAGAACCAAGTGCAAAATGTTCGACTAAGGAAGCACTAAAATCAGGCCAAAGTTTTTTACTAGAGAAACAGGATAAGTAATCATGACAGTTTAAATGTCAAAGTCGGTAGCCTGGAGAAATTTTCATAGTTCATAGGAATTACACAGCCCCATAATCTGCGAAAAACTCCTCAAGTGAATAGGAGAAGGTAATATACGCACACCACACCACTACAAAGTTGTTTAAGCTTTCATTTCAATACTATGTCAATTGAGGAATCTATGATAACTCAGACGATCCAGTTTACTTGGAAACAATCATCTGAAACTGTGCCCAAAATCATTGGCTGCACAAGTGCATATACTAGACATTAAGCAAAGTTATTTTGGCTTCTGATCTCATGTCACATTTCACAATTCATAAACCTTAATTGTTAGAAAGAATACCTTATTGTGCGCTGCAGAACCACCATACTGAAGCGCTAATGTATCGCCCATGGACTCATAGACTGCCATTAACTCTTTCGCCAAAGGGTTGTCAAGGTCTATGTGTGAAGATTCCACAAGTCCTAAAGCTTGTAGCTGGTATCCTAGCGCTGCTAGTCCATAAGTAAATTGTGCAACATTGGTACGATCTAAACAATCTATACAATTAGTCCTTAAGACCCCTGCTTGAAACATCTGAGGTTTGACCCTGTAATCTCTGCGCAGTTCAAGGTTACAATAATAATTTTCATTTTCTACTCGTCCATCAACTGTCTCCTCATTGATGCTAGCTTGTTCTGGCACACACTGATCGCTGATATTTTTATTCCTGCATCACATTATATCCAAAATCAGCAATATGATTATTATCACGCATTGAATTAAATAATATGCTCACTTATTTGAGAAAAAACAGTTGTCCTGCGTAGTAATGCACTGGCAGGAAATTACGGGAATTCTTTTACATTAAATTCACCCAGTTATCCATCTTATTTAATAAATATTATCATAGATAGATCCATGCAAGGGACGTGCATCAACAAGTGAAATGTTAGAGAAAACTTTCAACTTGCGCTTTTAATTAAACATCAAAAAATAATGGGTATAAATTAAAAGATATGAAGCTCCTATATAAATTCAGCTTTTTTCCCCATAAGATGCATGCAAATTCGGGAAGATATTGTGAATTCTGATTGCCTATAAACGAGAAACAAGAACACCACACACTTCAATTGTAGACACAGTATAGAATAAAAGCCATGAATGAATAAAGTTAAAAAGGTGCTGTTATAATTCGTACTCTGAGAAGGAGTATTGTAGCAATCCCTCTGGACTTGGAATTGGAATTACTTCACCACAGAAGATGCCGGTTAACTTTAAAGCATATGCAGCAACTCTTCCCAGTTGCGTCAAGACATTAGAAGCTTTGCTGCTAAAGGCAGTTATCTAATCATGTCAAATAACACACGAGAAAAACTTACACAGTTGAACAAGAAGGGAAGATCAGGCTACCATCTTGAATGTTGATGCAGATCCCAGTTAAAGAACCTCAAGCGATTTTCCCCTTTCAAATCCTTGTTAATAGACCTAATAGCATTCGCAAACTCTTCTCGAAGAATAGTTTCTCGAGGCTTCTTCTCACGGGTCTTAGAAACAGAAGATGGTTAGAAGAACAGAAAAGTTAGGAAAAATCCTATAGTTGACAAAACACAACAAAATTAACAGTGCCAATGCCATAAAAAGTTTTGTTGCATGTGGAGAATCCTACCTTAATCAAGTTCAAAATGATAATTGGATTTCCGTATCTCTTTGCAAGATTATCAAAGTGAAGTCTTGTGGCCTCAAAGTTCTGGTCCTTCTTTGATACTGAGGAAAAGAACCCAAGTCAGTATAACCTATACAAGATGAATGCCATAATATGGAGAGTTGTTCCATATCATACATATAATGTCAGGTTTTATATTCAACCGAGAGGCCTCCTGAGACCAGAAAAGAGGGATTGAACCCCTGATCTGCACTACAGAACTTATTTGGAAGGGGCATCCATCATGAGCATCTTCGAAGACTATCTGCTCTGTCTCAACATCATTAGCCACTCTACCCTTTTCATTCACTCCCCGTTTTAAATATCTACACCAGAAGATATAGAAATGAAGTGAGTGTCATTTCATGAAAAGAAAAATAAAAATGACAAATAAATTCAGAAGTAAGAATAATGAAAAAGTATCATCGCAAGACATCACATTGCATGCATCAAATAATTCGAAGTGCATGGGAAAACTAGCATATATATTCAAGACTCAAAGAAACTGATTCAAACTGTTAAGGGTGCAGATATAAGGATTTTTGTAGGCTGGAACAAAAGCGAACAGCTGTGAATTAGATTGTAGCTTAGGTTAATGGCCAACTCAAAGGGATAAAAGTTGTGCACACCTGGTGCCAGCATAATGTCGCGAACGTCTAGCAATGATTGTTAAATTGAACTCCCTGTCAGATATTGAAAGTTTGACCTGGACACCATGTATTGAAACTGAACACTTATGAAAAGGAAAATACTGATTCTTAAGCAAAACATATACTAACTAGCACGAATGCAATTTACTGGCACAACCAGAGAAAGGCTTTAAGCCTTTATAGTAAGCA